GTGAACTGCTGTATGAAAAGTGAATTTACTCTGTAAATCTTCACCCAAATCCTAATAAAAAAAAAAAAAATGAGGGTGAAATTGGGACATTCTCAGATAAACTAAAATTAAGGGAATTTGTTACTACCAGACAGTTCTTGCAAGAAATATTAAAGGGAGTCTTCCAGAAAGAAAACTAATGACATAAAACAGTAACCTGAAGTGATACATATGGAGTGGTGGTAGGGAATTCCATTACAATAAAAACATGCGTTGCATAGATTAGATATAACATATTTCCTACTGGTAAACACAACAGGCATGTCTTTCATGCTTTATAATGACAAAATTATAGGGGGGACAAAAGGGAAAAAATAAATACATATAACAACAAAATAAATTTAGATTAGAGGGAAGCTGAGATACAAAGATGTAATTAAGGATAACATACAAATAAAAGGGAGGGGAGGACTGGTATAGATGTAGTCTTTTTATATGTTAAGGAAGCTAATTGATATGAAGATATAACAGGTAGTTTGAGATGTAAGATGTTAAAAAATAATCCTCATGGTAACCACAAAGTAAATATAAAATTATACACTAAAATAAAGAAGAAAGGAAACAAAATAGATCAGTGCTTATAAAAAATAATTTAAAAGAGATAAAATCTATAGATAAAAAGAACTCATCACTGGAGGAAAACAAGAACAAAGAAATTGCAAGTCTCACAAAATAAGATAATAAAATGGCAGAAGTAAATTCTCCTGTATTGGTAATTACCATGAACATATGGATTAAATGGTCCACACAAGCACAGAGCAGCAGAATGGATAAGAAAACATGACCCATCCATTTGCTGCCTACAAGAGACATATCATAGGCCCAAAGACACAGACAGACTGAAAGTAAAAGGATGGGAAAGAATATTCCATGCAAATAGTAACCAAAAGTAAGCAAGGTAGTCATATGGATATCAGACAAAACATACTTTACTACTAGCAAAGAGAATCCAATGACATTTTTAAAGAATTATACATCATGACCAAGTGGAATTTACTCCAAGAATGAAAAGACAGTTCAACATTAGAAAATCAATCAATGCAATATATCACATTATTAGTACAAAGGAAAAGAACTACATGATCATCTCAATAGACACAGAAAAGGCATTTGATAAAACCTGTTCTGGTTACCTAGTGCTGCTCTGGTAAGAAATATACCACAAATGGGATAGCCTTAACAAACAGGAGTTTATTCTTACAATTTGGGCTTTAAGTCCAAGTTCAAAGTGCCAGGCTCTAGGGGCTGGGTGAAAGCCCCTCGACCTTGGGGTCCAGCTCTGCCTCCTGCTCCTGGACCACTGGAGCTAGAGGCGTTTCTTCACTCAGATAGCTGCTGGCTGCTGAGGTTGAAAAACCCCAAGGTTGACAAGTCAAAAGGCACAGTCCCGATGTTACCAAACCACAAAGTAGGCCATTAACTTAAGTCCATTGTAAGTCCCAAGGTCAGCAGAGCATAGCAGGCTACTGAGCATCAACACAGCTACATGGAGGGACCAAGCATGCCAAAGGCTAGAGACCATTCCCAAAGGCTTCTCCTTATATACAGGAAGCAGACCACATACCCAAAGGCAGCTACCCAGCTGCTTGTGGTTGATCCCACCATG